TGAATTGGTAGGTTTCGTCAGGGCGTGAAGAAATATAGAGCTGAGTATCATCAGCATAACGGTGAAAACTAATGCCATGCTTCCTAATGATAGCTCCCATGGGTAGCATACAGAGTGAACAGCAACGGTCCTAGTACTGAGCCTTGTGGTACTCCATACTGAACTTGTGATCGATAAGACATCCCTTCATTTACTGCTACAAACTGATAACGGTCAGATAAGTATGATTTAAACCATGCTAATGCAATTCCACTAATGCCAACATAATTTTTGAGTCTATTTAAAAGAATGTTGTGGTCAATAGTATCAAATGCAGCACTAAGATCGAGTAACACTAATACAGAGATACAACCACGATCGGATGATAAGAGCAAATCATTTGACTCTAATGAGTGCTGTCTAAGTACTATGATACGGTCTAAATCCTGACTGAAAATCCTTGCAGATATAATTTTTTTCTAAAAAGGAACATGGTTCCTGAGGATACTGGCTTTTCTAGTATCTTTGACAGAAAAGGTAGATTCAAGAGGATCAAGTTGTGGTTTTTTAACAAGCGGTTTAATCGTAATCAAAGTTTAAGGTACTTATCCTAATGACAAAGATGAATTAATGATATTAAGAAGAGGATCTATGACCTCTGGAAGCATCTCTTTTAATAGCTTAGTCGGTATAGGGTCTAACATACATGTTGTCGATTTAGATGATTTAACGAGTTTAGAAAATTCTTCCTCTCCTATAGCAATGAATGAATCGAATTTTTCCTCAGGGAGACTACAATGCACTGCCTGATGCGATACTGTAGTAGACGGTTGCATAGTTATAATTTTCTCGCAGATCTAGCAGTTTTTAAGCCTCTCTGTACTTTCAAATCAATTCTAATTGTAACTGGAAGCCAGTGTAAAGACCTGAGGACTGGTGTGATTTGGTGGTGTTCTGTTCAGAATCCGGGCAGCAGCGTTCTGTATAAGCTGGGCTATAGCTATGGTAATCAGACTGTTATTGCTGTGGGCCCTCCTTAGTTGAAATTACAAAATGTTAGATTTTGGATTTTTGGAATTTGGCATTAACAAGTGCATTACATGGTGCGTGTGTGAGGCAGAGTGAACGCGGGTTATGCAGATGTTTTTGGAGGTTATATGTTTTGGTATTGGCCCTCAACATTTTTGACCTACGCTTCAAAATCATTCTCACTGTTTGGTGCTTGTTTGAAGAGAGTGTATATACCTGACAAATTATTCTATTAAAAATAAATTATCCAACTTATTTTTAATAGAAATGTCTAAAAGACAAGCAAGCATATTTTCATTTTTCATATAGGCGTGTAAAGCTAATGGTGTTTCTGATCAAAAGAGATCCCGAGAAGATGGAACTGCAACACTGGACCGTTCTACTATTCAGGACAGCGGGTGACACGAACAACGGGAGTAAGATCAGTCAGAAATATGATAGAGCTAATCAAGTCGTCTAGTGAAATTGTTTTTATATCGCTATATCGCAGAAAAACTAAATATCGCAATGTCAGTTTTTTTCCAATATCGTGCAGACCTAGTTGTGACTTATTTATATTGTTTTTAAAGTGATTGATGCCCTAAAATATTTGTTTGCCTTATTTATGTTTGGCTGAATTTATTCTGGACTTAGGGACCGTCTTTAAAGTGAATTATGGCCTTAAATCTTCTTTTTTTTATAAAGAGTAACCGGTTCAAAAATAAGATTTAGTTGCAGTCTTAATTGCTTACTGTATACTCTACTCTTGACCCAGTGGCCACCTAAACCAGCAACATTTACATGTGCAAAAATGGATTTGCCAACTAAGTGATGCGCCTCACCACTGGTGATACTTCACCACCACAGTGGGACAGTTGTTACGGTTTCTGGCACATTCCGGTTTTACCATATCATTTCTTCTTGTTGACATTGGAAATACTAGTCATTTACATTATATATTCTTTGCACATGTATCTTTTTCTTTTTTTTTTCTTTTTTTTTACAAAGGCTACGTTCAAATTACTGTCATATTAATTAGTTTTAGATAACTAATTATTTTATTTTATTGTAGACTATATCTGGAGCGGAAAACAAAATGATTTAATTTTACCTCAGAGCTCAGAGTTTGCATGCATTTGTTTTCTCTGTGTCAGTCATGACAGGCTCAGATAAATGTCCACTCACAAGACAAGCAAGGTGAGGGAGTGTTTCGACTCAACATTCTTTTTTTGTCATGTCAAACTGGCATATAATAATTAGGCTTGTTATAATACCGGTTTTGAGGGAAAATAGCCTACTAATATGAATTTTATAACAATTTTAAGAGGAACCATTACAATATAAACTTACTTTACAACAACAGATCCCATATCAATATCCTAACGAATAGAATACTCTTAATTAATGTATAGTTGCCAGTACTATCAAGCTTTTCTTCTATTTGTCCACCTGCCATGTTTAAAGATATTTTTCATACCTGTATTTTCAAGATATTAATCCTGCACTGCATTGATTCAGTGGATTTTATTAAATATGTCTATGTACTTATTTTGCAGTTATTAGAGACTCGGTCTCTTTTCCTCATTTTTTGCTTTGTTGAGGCATCATTGAATGAAATTCCATCCAATAACTTTTCTGTTGCTTGCTTTGATCATTCATTTCACCTAAATTTGATTTCTTTTTATTTGAGCACAGCACAGACCTAAGGTAGTGTTTCTTAACTTTTTTTAAAATATCTTTGGTACACCCACAGCCCCACCAATACTTACCCCTTCATTGACAACAAACCAACAAGAAATGTGTGCCTTTTTAGGGATGCATGATATATCGGCACCTTATCAGTTATCGGTTGGCAATTTGTCATTTGTATGTATTTCATTTCACATGAGAGACTGACATAATGAACAAGTAATCTAATGTATCTGTCATTAACTTTCACCCAAATATATTAAAGACCCCCTGTGGTGAAAATCAAGTTTGTAATGTTGTTTATATGTCTATGTGGTGTTTTAATATGCTAGACAAACCATGGACAAAATCATAAGTCAACACCATTGCTGAGTATTTTCTCCTTAAAACTGCAGTGAACCAAAGACTGTCTCAAAAATGTGGTTGTTGAAATCGTCGAGGGTGTTTCTTACATCACAAACTACCTTGTGCGGGCGGGCGGGCGGGCGGGCGGGCTTTAGCTTATTAAGTAGAAGCCAGGTTATCTCAGTATATTTTTCTGTTGATATGAAACATCATATACATTTAGCAATATAGCCGGTGAATTATGTAGGCTATAACATGCATATCACGATGTTATGATGAACTATATGCCTTTCTCCACTGACGTTCTGAGTTGTTAAGTGTTTCTAAGGATACTGATTTTTAGAAGGCAGCTGTCTGACTCTGAGATAAGATTGTGAATGGGAAAATGGTTTGTGTAATAACATTAGCAACACATTATTAGCTGTTTGATAATGTAGTCAAGCCAAAGGCTAATCATATTAATTACGTTACGTGTCCGACGTTGTAAAGAGCGATACAATGGTGCAGTGTTTACTACAGTAAAGTTGACAGGAGTGTGACTGAGTGGAGGCGGGGCTAATTTGCATAATCATGGTTTGCATGTACTAAATGAAGCAAGGGTGTAGAGTTACATTCACGCTATTTTAAGGCATGAAGAATTTTTTTCACAGGAAAAATGTTTAAATGTATAATTTTGGTGATCAAAGATGAGTTTAAGGGATACAATTATTGATTACATGGGAACTTTAAATATAAGTAAAGATAATTGTATGCTTAAAAGCATGTATTCTCAGTTCCTGGAAGGCCAGCAGAGTCCTGCAGAATTAAGGTTCAACCCTAATTAACCGCACCTGATCCAGCTAATCAAGACCTTTAGGCTTATTTAAAAAACTACAGTTGGATCAGGGTTGGAGCTAAAGGTGCGTTCACATCATGTCATAATTACTGCAATTACGTGTTTAACTTGTAAAAATAAAATGTTCATGTCCTTTTAGAGCTTGTAATTGCAGCTTGTAACATGACCGCTGACCGCTGATTCATTTAGGCGTTGATAGTAGTGCTATAGAAACACATAATGCCCATTCCGAGCATGTGAACAGCTCAGAATACAACATCACGTGTTGTCATCTTGAGACTACTGTAAGTACGACATGGCGTGAACACAGTGTAAACTCTGCAGGGCTGTGGACAGGACAGTGGACAGTAGGCCCTTTTTAGGGGACACTTTAGCCCCTAAATTTCTACCAAACCCCCCTTAAATATGTGTGATTAAATCTGTACATGAACTTGCGATCACCTCAGTCCCATTTAAAACACAGAAAACGGCAGGCTTCAGCTCTTCCCCTTCTTTTAGTCAGCGTTATTCAGCATGAGCGTATTCCTTAATGCGGGAGCAACACAAGCCGGTTTCCCATCGCCTTTAGAAAGTTTTTGCTAAGTTCACCACTCATCACTCTACAGTTGTTTTCCTCCAGTGAATATTGAGAACTTAACACCCATGAAGACATGCTTGGAGAGCAATTCTAAGCTAAAGCCTGTATATAGGAAATATTAAATATTGTTATTTGGGTTTAATAGGAGTTATCGTCCCTTATCTTGAAGATGGCAAACCTTGGGATAGATGATGACAAAGGGAAAGCACTGTTCAGGAGATGGGCTTAATCTCTAAGAACGCATGTTGGCTGAGCAGAGATGTGTTTTTGCATACAAATTTGTTATGTTAAACATGCACTTTATTAATGTTACTTAAAATGTATAGTAAACTCTGTTTCAGATACACAAACCCTTGTATCATTCAGATTCATTGGTTTATATCTCTTAAGATTTGTTCTCGTCCTCTCCTTCCTCTAGTATTATGAGTGGTAAATATGATCTCACTAGTTTTATCTATAACACAGTTCAAAAAGAATATTTAACCATCTTTCATTCTGTAATTTTGGTGTGTAAATTCACTTAAAATGCAAGACATCAGAACTTTTCGCTCTTTCTTTGCAGAACTTGTCCTCGTGGTCCACATTAGGAAAAGTTATCAAGAATATGGTCCGTCTTTGGTTGTCACCTGCTTCTCTTCATTATCCCATTGGATCTCGAGTTTGTATGCAGCTCTCATCAGGCACTTGGACATCAGAACTGCAGGTGTGAGAGAGTCGAATGTCTATTATAGGAGACAGCAGAAGGTCCAAGCAGTCTTCGTGGTGTCAGAAGGGACTGTGAAGACGTAGAGAGTCTTGACTTGGAAGATATGGCAGAGCATGGAGAGCTGCTATCAGAAATGGCAACTATCGGCCGTCTTTCGGCCACTGAGCGCCTGAAGCAGGCGCAGAAGAGACGCGCGCAGCAGCTGAAAGGCTGGGATCAGATGGACAAGGACAGTGCCCGTGGTCACAAGGGAGATGGGGTGAAGAAAAGCAGAAGGGTGACCTTCCACACCAACGTGACGTTACTGGAGGCTTCAGCCAGGAATGACATAGAGGAGGGTAAGAGTAGAGTAGCAATACTGCAAATCTCTTTCCCTTATTACAGTGGCTGTAGAAAGTCTACACACGTCCCTGTTAAAACTGCAGGTTTTTGAATGTATAAACGAATCCAATATAAATATTGCTAGATCTTTTTTCTTTTGCTAGATCTTTTCTGTAATGTGATTATTAAAAGCAGTTATAAATTTAGTTTTTTAATGACCATTAAAAATTACCCTCCTCTTCCTCTCTCACTCAATGAAACGGTTTCATCAGCTGTTAAATTTGGTGTTTTGAACTTGTTAAAATGTATAATCTTATACATTTTAACACAAGTTCAAAACACCAAATCATTAGTAAATAAAATCCTATTATATTTGCAACAGAAGTTGATTGGTATGCTATGAAGGCATTGTCCACACTAATACATTTTCATTTAAAAACGCATCTTTTTCTCTCCATTTTGACCGCACTTGTTCTGCGAAAACTGAGCTTTTTGAAAAGTCTTTCCCAAGTGGATAAATTTGAAAATGCCATTTTTGCTTTGTAGTGTGGACTGTGAAAAGAGAGGTATTTGAAAATGATGACGCATGTTTAGTCATGTGATATCACAGATATCTATGTTTATACCGGTATTGTGCCAGTTATTGTGCTATTCACTTTCACACTGTTACATATGTCTAAACATTATGTTACTTTGTACAATCTTCATATCGCAGTTCTGAAAAGATGACAAAATTTACTCGAAATTGCTGTCCTGCGGCAAAACATGAGAGCAGTTTAGACTAAACATATAAAGAGTGTGACCTTGGACGCATGGTGAGATATTTTGCTAAACAAAATGATTCAGCAGAAGAATAGCATGAGAACTTTAGTATGTCTGTTCTGTCTGTATCATCTCAGTGAGATTTTATAAGGTTTTATGCATGCGGAGTAAGGTGAATTTAGCGTTTTCAGATGTTTCAGTGTGGATGAGAGACTTTTAGAAAACGTTTAAAGATTGGACAGAGAGCGTTTTGAAATGTAAATGCCGTTTTAAAATTTTATCCGGATTAATGTAGACAGCCAAAAATGTGAACATTTTAGTTTAATATTTAATTATTTTTTAGAATGTCAAAATAATTTCACACACTGGGCACATTTTTGAAAATATGTTTTCATGTTTTTTTAATATGTATATTTACAATTTGGTTTATAAACCATATTTACAAATTTGTAAATAGGTCCAAACAACCCTCTTGACTTCCTTTTGTATGGAAAAAAAAAAAAAACTTTTTAAGAAAAGACGGTGCAAGTAAAAATGAAAATTCTGTCATTTACTCACATGAGGGTGAGTCAATTATAACAGAATTTTAATTTTTTTTTGTTGGATGAACTTTCCTTTTTATATCATCATTTGTTCCAAATGTTTAGAGTTTGTAGGTTTGGTGACTTTAGAGCTTTTGTGTCTGTTGGCAGTACGAGAGTTGCTGAATAATGGAGTCAGTCCAGACCTGTACAATGAGGACGGGCTCACTGCTCTACATCAGGTACACCCTCATCGACACAAACAACACACATATACATCATCTGTGTGTATGTGACCATTAAGGAATTGCTGTGACTAAGCATTATTTAAATTTAGGAGCACAAGCAAAAATGTAGAAGTCAGAAACGAAATTTGGTGTAAGTCATCATGACAAAAGAGTTTACCTTCCCAGAAGTAATATTTTCAGTTAATTTGACAGGCTGCAGACTGTTTCATCTTATTTTCAATATAATTTTCACACAGTGCAGTATCTGCATTCAAACTGATGCACTAATACTGCTATTATATTATTAATTAATTAAATTCATTGGCGTGTCTGTGCAAAGAAAGAGATTTCAGTTTTGCTGTTATTTGCGAATTTTTGTCAAAACAAAAGTCTTGGTCGCCATTAAAATTAAAGTCGGCTTCGGAATGACCAAACAGAAAATCAATGATTAAAAAATGCCAAATGTCTGCCGGTATATCAGCCTTGGCAACCACTACACAAATCAACTAGTTGGTTGTTGGAGGACTTAGCCGACTGTCTTGGCACATCCCTACTATTGAATCATGTTTTCTACAGCCAAGAATTCAGATAACTGTTTCTCCGCAGAGCTGCATAGATGATTTTTTGGATGTAGCTCGCTGTCTTCTGGACGCGGGCGCAAACGTGAATGCGTGTGACAGTGAGCTGTGGACCCCTTTACATGCAGCGGCCACCTGCGGGCACACTGACCTCGTCCAGATGCTGATAGAAGCGTAAGTCAGTTTATTTGTCATGCAGATCTTACTGCGTTTTGTCATACACAACTTTTATTCTTTAAAACTGTGATACAGACTGTCTTGTTCATGTGTTTAGGGGTGCAGATCTGTTGGCGGTGAATGCAGATGGAAACATGCCGTATGATCTGTGTGAGGACGAGGCTACGCTAGAGCTCATAGAGATGATCATGGCAGAGCAGGGTGAGGGTTGCCTATAATTTACCTAATATTGAGCTAAATCAAACCTCTCATGTGCAGTGTTGATGAACATTACCTTTAAAAGATAAAAGCTCATAAACTAGTTATGTTTTTCAATGTTACTTGGACAGGAATGCATTTAGAGTTGTCAAAAAGTACTGACTTTGGTACCAAGTCTGTACTGAAATTTAAAAATGTGACGATAGCAGCATTTTCCTCTAGCATTTTCAGCGCTGTTAAACGGATTCTTAAACACCTCTGATTGGCCATTGTGTTGACGCGCTCAATTATGTCTGTGATTGGCTACAATGATCAACAATGACATCTTTGACGCTTTTCATCGAATGTTTACAGAGATACACACGGGACCGTTTGAAAGCGGCGTCTATAAGTGGATCCGTCTATCAGCGGATATATTAGGGATCCGCTGATAGACGCCTGCTTTAAAACGCTCCCGTGTGTATCTGTGTAAGCGCTCAATGAAGAACGTCAAAGATGTCATTGTTGATCATTGTAGCCAATCATAGACACATGTTGAGCGCGTCAACACAATGGCCAATCAGAGGTGTTTAAGAATCCATTCAACAGCACTTAAAATGCTAGAGGGAATTTCAGTACCGACTTGGTACCGAAGTCAGTAGGCCTACTTTTGACAACTCTAAATGCATTAGATACTTTTGTGTTGCATTTGCTTTTAAAGAACATGTGAGTACAGCAGGCAGTTTCTCTGAAGCAGGGGTTCTCAAAATCTTTCATGCTGTTACACACTCTCTAAACCTATTTAGTGAAATACGAGAAAAAAACTGCATTTGTTTTCTTTAAATAAACTTTTTTTGTTTCTTTTCATAACATTCAACCCTCTATGCCCACGTTGGCAATAGAATGCCTAGTCAATTTTTTTTTGCTTACTCACCAGACCCTGTATATGTTTCTTGGAGTGTGTTGCAGCCATCAAAATCAAAATGTACTAATACAATTAATTTGGCCAGTGAAAACATTGGATAACTTACATAAAGTCAGTTAAATAAAGGTTAAAGAGAATGAACAAATGACAGATTTTTCATTTTATTGCATTTTACAAAAGGTCCCTTTTTTTCTGGAATTGGGGTTGTATTAAAACTAAAGATACGTCTGTGTTGAGTGCACAGGTGGCAGAAAACAAGACAGACTCATGACACAAGCTAAATTTAATACCAATCTACACTGAGAACGAGAGGTTTGACACAGCAAAACTAGATTTAGCAACAGGTTACTTATTTGAAAAAGTAACTCTTTACGGTATGTTACAGATTTACAGCAAAATTCGATTGTATAACACTTGCTACCTACTTATAACTATAAGAGCACAGACCCAACTAAATCATAATGGCTGTAACTGTTTAGTAGCTGATTTAGAAACTGATTCTGTAGATTAGTTATTGCAGTCCAACACATTTAAACAGTGATTTCCTAAACATCTCGCATAAGTCTATTATCCATATGTTTGTAATTAGGGATTACTCAGGAGAGAATTGACGAATGTCGCGGAGCCAAGGAGAAAGCGATGCTGTCTGACCTACGAGAGCTGGTGGCGAGCGGAGCTGATCTGAATGTGAAGGACGAGCAGGGGGCCGCTCTGGTGAGAGACCGCAGTACATACAGACAGGACGATAATTTATAATATTACAAAAACTAAAGATCCAGTTCTCTGTGTAGCTGCATATAGCCGCTGCTAATGGATACATGTCAGTGGGGGAGCTGTTGCTGGAGCACAGGATGTCTCCTGACGACCGGGACGCTGACGGGTGGACGCCGCTCCATGCTGCCGCCTGCTGGGGACAGGTGAATACTGACACTCATGAGGGTTTATAGGCTGCAGCCTCTATAAAATCAAAAATGTACAGCATTTATTTTCTTTATGCATGTTACTGGTCTTATTGTACTTTTAAAATATTTTTTTGTACAGACCTTTATGCAAATTCTAAATATCGAGTCCATTTCATGCCGACTTTAATATACACCAATAGAAAGCAACGTTTCATAGGGAATAGTAAAGAGTTTTTGTGTTAACAGATACAGTTGTTACCGTGATGTAGAGGAATTACACAGTTATAACATCACATCTGAAATGTAAGAGAGGTATAAACTAAAAAAGGACTACTGTGAAGTCATGCTTGCGAAGGTGGTTTGGGTCGATCAGCTTTTTCTCTTGTTCTCTGACTGTCATTATCAGACTAGGGCTTGAATTGATACTGCAAAACTGATGGCATAGTTAGCGTAGTTACAGTAGTATTTACAGTGCCTCAGCCTCCAGTGCTGAAACGAGCCGATTATGGTAAGGGGCTTTACATTTCTGATATGCTCTCTAAGCAGTTGATGAATTACAACAGACTGGGACCCGGCTGGCCAATCAGAACAGACTACGTTTTTTTTTTTTGGAAGGCGGGTTAAAAAAAAACTGGTAAACACTCTCTGCTCCAACACACCTCTCTGTAATTTATGAAATGTTCCTTAATTTGCTGATACAGATGTGTTTGATTAGGGTAAGAGCTAAAATTTGTTGTAAGGTAGATACCCAGGAACAGGATTGAGCGCCCCTGCCTTAATACAACCTGCCATTAAAGGAAGGGTAGGCAATTTCAAACAGGCTAGCAATAGCAAGCTAGCTAGCTTTGAAAGCATAAGATCCCACCGTCCCTTCAGAGCGCTCTCCAAAGCCACGCTTCCTTTAAAACACAGCATCCGTAAAGTCTCATGAAATGAGAGACGGCGTTAAATTACCTCATGTCTCAAAGCACATAACATTACAATAATAATGAACGTAAACTACTTACAGAGCTCTAGTTGTACCACCTGACTGCTGTAGATTAATTTTGCCATTGATAGTGTTGACATAGAAACGCATAAGTCTGAGGACGTGAACCACTGTGAGTAGAACGTCACGGGTTGCCGTCATGTAACGATTACGACAGAGTGAACGCAGCATTAGCTCGTTGTTTTGGTTCAGGAAGAACAGTAAAAGGCGGCTGCTGTTTGTGGCGCTCAGTCTGCATAGCCTTTCTGAACGCGCTGATGATGTGTGATGTCTGGGCGAGGTATAGAAATACAAATGTTGACAGACAGGAAGGTAGGTTTTTGTTCCTGTGACTTCCACAGAAGATATATGTACATGTTTTAGCATTTCGACCACTTCTATTATTGATTGCTATCAGGATGTGAAGAGAGTTTCAACCAGTATAAAAAAAATTGTCTACCTTTTAATTGGCAATAACAACTAACCAATACTAGTTCATGACTGAGAAATTAAGGAAAGTTAAAAATGTTTAAATGTCCTGCCCCACCTTCTGTTTAGTAAGTAATAAATGGTAAACTTAGCAATTTCAAACATGTAATGGACTTTTAAATCATAAAGCTGTTAGTTGGAATGATTATACTGACTTTAATGGCAAAATTGATGTTTATTCTTTCGTGATTGTGTCTTTCTGCTCTTATAGATCCATATGGTGGAGTTGCTGGTGGCTAATGGTGCGAGTTTAAACGCCAAGTCTGAGCTGGACGAGACTCCTCTGGGTATACGACATCCCACATGTTTGATCAGGACCGACTTGGCAGGAGGCTTCACGATACTACTTGTGTTGTTTTGCAGATGTGTGCACTGATGAGGAGGTCCGGGCCAAAATGATGGAGTTGAAACACAAGCATGATGCCATCATGAAGGGTCAGGACAAACACAAGAACACATTGCAGAGACGAGTGTCCAGCACGGGCAGCAGAGGGTGAGAACTAACAGCAAAACAAAAGCCCGGCAAAGCTGCACTCGACAGCTTGTGACCGTGACAGTTGTATTAAAAATCGAATTGATTCCCCCTTTATATTTAAGAAGAAACTGTTACTACAGTATACAAATGATCATTTGCACCAAAGCATGCATAAAAACCATGGAAACAGCCTCGCTGACTGTGATTGGAATGCTGTATTTTTTTTTTTGCAACGCTCAGTTGCTGTATCGTTTACACTGGAATGCTGTAGTTGGCATTTTTCATGATTAGATAATAGTGTTATCATGACAATTGTGATCTTAAAATACGATTAATAATGATAATATAAAGAACCCCTCTGAAACAGTGCGTGTGAGCTCTACTTTGTGTGGATTGTGTTTACAGTAAAGTAGTGAGGCGCAGCAGTGTGAATGAGCGCAGCAGTCTTTACCGCAGAGAACATCAGAAGGAAGCCATGGTGTGGAAAGAGAGAGGAAGACAGACAGATGCCCTGGATGATGATGAAGACAGACAGACAGATGCAGAACTGAACCTGCACGCTGCACTGGTGAGAAACGGGCTTATTCAGTGTTTAAAACCTTCTGAAATATGAAATATGACAGTTTGGGAACACGCTAAGCTTCCAGTGATGAAGATCATGCTTATTAAAAAAATAAGACATTATCCTTTTTGGTTATTTTGGTCTTATTACTATTAAGACAAAATTTCAAAATACAGCTTAAAAGAAAGCAAGATTTTGACCAGATTTCAAAATGATATAAATCTGTTTGTCGTCTACATAAAAATGTTGATTGGGGCCAAGTGATGAAATTGAAGACAAACGAAAAGAGCTTTATCAAAATATTACAGAGGGGTACAATGAAAGAAGCATATACAGATGTACAGATGTTTTAAATATTTATCTCTTAGGTCCCCTTTAGTCCTAATCTAATAATAATAAAATGTATTATGTTTATTCTAATAACTCCTACACCTTCTATGGACCGTTTTCACAGTTGCCAACTTTGCAAATCTAGTAAAGTTTTTTTTATATATATATATTTTTTAAATGTTGACATCTTTCTCTCTTATGACCAACGTAATCAAATTATAAATTGTAATAATATTTCACAATATTACTTTTGCTTCACTTGCCTCGATTCTTCACAATCCACACGATTCGATTACGATTCAGAGGGTAACGATTTGATTACGAAACAATTCTCAATTCATCTTTTCTTTCAATTCTTTTATTAATAATAATTACTAATAATTCAGAATACTATTAATAATCACAATGTAATTATATATTTCTTATTAAAAATAAGAAAAAAGATGCAGGATTAAAGAAGGATAAAAGAACAGGATTATGAATTATGTTTGCAGATATTTAGGAAATATGATTTGCTAAATTCACATACTCTTTCCTCTGAAAAACAATGCTACAGCCAGTTATTCTACTTTGAAATGTGCGTTCGGTGTTGGAATGTCTGTTTTTGTTTGGGTCTGTGTGATCCCGCCCACTGCCAATTTACCCAGTAGTATTTCGACACACCGATAATAAGACCTAATGCACGAATCTAATATAATGTTGAAATGTGCGTTCGGTGTTGGAATGTCTGTTTTTGTTTGGGTCTGTGTGATCCCGCCCACTGCCAATTTACCCAGTAGTATTTCGACACACCGATAATAAGACCTAATGCACGAATCTAATATAATGTTAGACATCTTTTTTCCCCCAATTGGTTACGTTCACTTTAGACATTTACATTTAATCATTTAGCAGACGCTTTTATCCAAAGCGACTTCCAAATATGGAGAGCAATAGAAGCAATTAAACTAACAGTAGGACAACAATATGCAAGTGCTGTGACCCTTCTCACTTTAGTCTAACGCAGTATACGTAATTTTTATAAATAGATATAGATTTGAAGAGAAAAGAAAAGAAAGTGTTAGTATTAATGGATCAAGTGTTTCTGAAAAATGTGCATCTTCAGCCGTTTCTTGAAAATGGCTACGGACTCAGCAGCTCGGGTTGAGTCGGGCAGGTTATTCCACCAGCAGGGAACAGTCCAGGTGAAGGTCCTTGAAAGTGATTTTTAGATGGCACCCCAAGGCGACGCTCACTTGCAGAACGCAAGTTTCTGGATCGAAATTCCAAATTTCATTAACTTCCATTGCTAGAAGGTGCTATAATAACTAAAAAAAAAAAAAACTATGTGAACTGTTTCTCCATTCACCAGCAATATATACAACTACACTCACCTAAAGGATTATTAGGAACACCTGTTCAATTTCTCATTAATGCAATTATCTAATCAACCAATCACATGGCAGTTGCTTCAATGCATTTAGGGGTGTGGTCCTGGTCAAGACAATCTCCTGAACTCCAAACTGAATGTCAGAATGGGAAAGAAAGGTGATTTAAACAATTTTGAGCGTGGCATGGTTTTTGGTGCCAGACGGGCCGGTCTGAGTATTTCACAATCTGCTCAGTTACTGGGATTTTCACGCACAACCATTTCTAGGGTTTACAAAGAATGGTGTGAAAAGGGAAAAACATCCAGTATGCGGCAGTCCTGTGGGCGAAAATGCCTTGTTGATGCTAGAGGTCAGAGGAGAATGGGCCGACTGATTCAAGCTGATAGAAGAGCAACCACTCGTTACAACCGAGGTATGCAGCAAAGCAATTTGCAAGAGCTCACCAAAATTGGACAGTTGAAGACTGGAAAAATGTTGCCTGGTCTGATGAATCTCGATTTCTGTTGAGACATTCAGATGGTAGAGTCAGAATTTGGCGTAAACAGAATGAGAACATGGATCCATCATGCCTTTGTTACCACTGTGCAGCCTGGTGGTGGTGGTGTAATGGTGTGGGGGATGTTTTCTTGGCACACTTTAGGCCCCTTAGTGCCAATTGGGCATCGTTTAAATGCCACGGCCTACCTGAGCATTTTTACTGACCATGTCCATCCCTTTATGGCCACCATGTACCATGTCCTCTGATGGCTACTTCCAGCAGGATAATGCACCATGTCACAAAGCTCGAATCATTTCAAATTGGTTTCTTGAACATGACAATGAGTTCACTGTACTAAAATGGCCCCCACAGTCACCAGATCTCAACCCAATAGAGCATCTTTGGGATGTGGTGGAACGGGAGCTTCATACCCTGGATGTGCATCCCACAAATCTCCATCAACTGCAAGATGCTATCCTATCAATATGGGCCAACATTTCTAAAGAATGCTTTCAGCACCTTGTTAAATCAATGCCATATAGAATTAAGGCAGTTCTGAAGGCGAAAGGGGGTCAAACACAGTATTAGTATGGTGGTCCTAATAATCCTTTAGGTGAGTGTATGTACACAGTAATATAAGCATCTGTCCTTTTAAATTAGTCAGTTCTGATAATATTTTCCATGTTTTCCAACTGCTTTGGCAATGACTGTTTATGGCTATTTTGAATTTAATGATTGCATGAAAAATAGAATGATTGTGTAAATAGCGAACTGATCTTGTGTTTGAGAGCCTCTATTGAGCTCAGTGATGTGTTTGTGTCTTACATATAGATATATAGATTTGACCAATCCTTGTACTTTCCCCTCCTTCACTTTAGGTGTCCGGCACTAATGCCACCCCTGTTCCTCCATTAGAGGTTGTCGAGGTGGAAAACGGAGCTCAGGTTTTGGGAAACGGCAGCACAGTGTCCTTTTCCTCCTCACTTCCTGGAGAACTCCAGGGCGGGGGCCGCAGGGATCGCAGCGCCTCCTATCAGCTCACTCCGGATTCGGATGCTACCGGCGGGGACAGCATGAGCAGAGAGAGATCTCACCACACGCTCGCAGATCTCAAGCGGCAGAGAGCCGCAGCTAAACTACAGAAACACCCAGCACCTCCTTTACCCCTGTCTGCAGGCCCTCAGGATGAGCTCGTCCCTGAAGGACCCCAAGGGCCACTGGAACCCACTGAATCGGTACAGCAGGATGCGGCCCCCAGTGCAGTGTACTTTACCCAAGCTAGTGGAGATCCACCTCTACTGAAGCTGAGAGCACCAGAAGAGGACACGACTAACACAAAAGAGCCATGCTGTGGACTCATGTAGAAGCAGCAAATGAACACGTTTGGCTTCATATGATCGCGCAGTTCTTATGTGCTACATGGACGAACGTAAAATATCAGGCAGGTATGTGGAAATGAGTTTTTATGTCCAAGTCAAGCTTTCTCTCATTGACTGAGTGAACTCACATTTTCAACACTAATATAAATAATAGCACCGGATAATGACGGACTACACAGCTTCTGGATTGAATAACACATGAAGAAATAAGAAGAAAAAAAGAGCCCACGTTTTCAAAACTTCCATTATTTGCAGTATTTTACACTATTATGCTAATCCTTTTCTTTTATTTAGTTGTTATGGTCATTAAAGTTTCAAAGGCTCTGTTCAATACAGAAAAAAACCCGACACAGCACTTTACTTGACCAAACTTTCAGCAATCTTCATAACTTCAATGGATATATGTACTATGTAAAAGTAAATTGTATAAATAAGCTCATTTGAATTGCACTGATCAAAGTAAAATCGCATTTCATTAACAGTTCTTGCATTTTTAAGGGCTGCAATCTAACAACTTGTACGCTTGCACTCCAACACCTGGTTGCACCATTTCACACTGCTTACTGCTCCAAAAGCCTCGTATCCAAGCTTCTTGATGTTTATTGCCTTTGAGACTGAAGTTCTTAAGCTAATTTTATATTAATGTAAAAAAAAAAATTGAAATAAAAAGATGCACTAAGGTCAGTGTACCTTCAAGGTCACTGTTTACTTCAAACCTTCTCATGAACCATCTCATCTTTTTTTCTCTCTTTGTTTTAATGCATCAAATGAAAAAAAAAAAAAAAAAAAATCCAATTATGAAGTTAAGACTTTTTGGTCTGAATATCTTCTAGCCATTTAATTTTCCATGTAAAAAAAATACAATTATAATTCGGCTCGATTTTGAGTTTTTTGTTTGTTCATCAGTGAATGCATGAGTTTACAGCTTGAATATTTTTGTTCACACATGTGGACGGCACTGAAACACTGCTTTCTTCTCAATGGTCGCCCGCTTCATCTCGCTTTACAAAGATCATTTTAACAAACTTAAAAATGGTTGTAAACAGCCTAGCTGAATCGTGTAGTTAGAACTTGGATCTGGCGCTTTCATGTTTTTTGTCTCATATGTCATGTTCAAGGGGTCATAAAAACACTGGCAGAAAAAAAATCAAAACCATTATGACTGTTTGTGAATAGCCGGTGTTAAATTTAACACATGCCTGAACATAACCAAGCACAACTATGAAAAGCTCCCAAAATGGCAGGAAGCTCTCATTCTGTATTTTTCCATGTGTCATAAACGCATATATTCCCATGTGAATTTATGACCCATGTTTCATTTATATTTTAACCCTAAACATGGAAATTTATATTTAAAATGATTATTGCTTATATATTATATATTATTATATTGCTTATATTTACATATATATTTAATATATATTACATATATAAAAAAAAATTGTTTATAATTTCTATGATTTTGAATAAAGAAAGAATTTTGTATAAGGAAAATGAGCGTATCTGCATATTCTATTCATCATTGTTTTAAACCAGAAATGAAATATTAATAATCTTTATGGTGTAAGTGACTGGTTTAAGTTGTTTAGTTAGTTTTTATTTTTTCATCACAGTGCAGGTTTAATTAGTTTGTACTCAAATGTTTAGTGAGATTTGAATAGAATGAGTGAGAGAAACACTAAGTTTGTTATGACTGGCAGAAATGGATGGATGATTTTCAAAATATCTTTAGCTTTTGCACTTTGAGGCTTATGACTGTATTTCACATGAAACAGTTCTATAGTACTGCTTTATTTACAAGCAGATTTAACATCTAATAGTTTTGTGTAAATGACAGCCAGTCTTTTCTTCAGGAACACACCTCCAAAGTCTCGCACCTTTTTGCACTTTGTTTACCTGTTCTGATCACACCAAGTGCTCTTGTTCTTTGCTGATGCTCCAGTCTTAAAATGTAAAGAATATGTGTCCGTGTCCTAAATGCAACTACAGAAGAGTTTTGTTTTATGCAGTTTGGCTTTCCAATGTGTTTTACTAAAAAATAATGCAACAATTTAACAATTTTCTCTTTGTCTTACATGCACATGCATTACTTGTAAATCTCTGTTTTTCAAATTATGAACTGTAAAAATGGTTTCATGGATTTAATTGATTTTTGATTTATTTTTATTTAATGAACTTTGAACCGTTTGTGTGATATGTTTTAGATGTGTTAGGATATAGAGACTCAATGAAGAGCAGATGCTTCATGACATTATTGAAAGATTACATGAACTCCATGAATGTCAAACATTTCACATTTATCAAATATCTCGAAGCTTATCATGATAATTGGGGAATTACCTGAGCTTTATATTCTAGAAAACTGTATAAAATTGATATTCTAGAATGTGACGTTAACGTGGCACTAACTGGGTAACAAGTAACTGTAGGTCTCTGAGGTGCAATGATCAATTTGGATGCAGAGGTCTGTATTTAAACTCATAAACACTTTTTCAGGGATATTTTATTTGGCAATTTTTATATATTTGAAATTGAAATATCTCTGGACTACGTAATCTGAACTCTACCACGAAACACGTGCAAACATTTAATCTTGACATGCAGTGTTTACTACTGGACAGCACTTTTCACATTGTGAAATGCCTTAAATGTAAAATGTCATAAAATTCCATGGGGTTTTTTTGGCATCCGTTTTATACATGTTCCTTTTCTATGTCATCTACTTGCTCTGTTAAATTTAACACTGGTGTCTGTAAATATATTCAGAGACATAAAGTTTGAATAAATTATACATGCATATTGAAAGTTTATGAATAATTCAGTTCTTGAGAATTGTTGGCTTTGTGTCCTGAACTGGATAAAAGTTTGTTAGGAAAGTATTACTGAATTTCTTGCCAATTTCTGCATATTTGTGGCTTTAAAAGGGGTGGAAGTCATATAAACCCTAGAGTAGCAGAATATAGTAGTAGTAGTAGTAATAGAATATAAAAACAGAGATACCAACCACCATAGTCAAATGTCAAATCAAAAGTCAAACAAATTGAAATAACCAGTTAAACATGAAAGTATTATGCAGTCATTTAAAGGGATACTCCACTTTTTTGGAAATAGGCTCATTTTACAACTCCCCCAGAGTTAAACTGTTGAGTTTGACCGTTTTTGAATCCATTCAGCCGATCTCCGGTTCTGGCGGTACCACTTTTAGCATAGCTTAGCATACATCATTGAAGTGTACAAGACCATTAGCATTTCTAAAAAAAAAAATGACCAAAGAGTTTAAATATTTTTCCTATTTAAATCTTCTGTAGTTACATCGTGCACTAAGACCGACGGAAAATGTAAAGTTGCGATTTTCTAGGCTGATATGGCTAGGAACTATACTCTCATTCCTGCGTAAGAAACTTTACTGCCGTACCATGAGTGCAGCAGGCGTAATGATATGACGCAGCGCCTGAAAATAGGCCACCTTCCATCAACACAACGGAACTATTTATCCATGTCGACACTAATGATGTCAAACTACGTCAGTTAGATATCACTCGAATTAACATTAAAGTGGTGTGTGAACTTGCAAGTATGAACAGACTGAGGGGAAATATAATACAAATTAACAATTTATAAAGCTTAGCTTGATTAATTTTAGATCTATTTCTACTAAAGCACTTATCGTTAATGACATGATCATCACCGATCACAACCTAGATGTGCTCTGTTGACAAACCTGGCTAACCAGACGATTGCAATTTAAATGTCTCTACACCCCAAAGAAAGGTCTAGATTTCAAGTATAGTTCTTTTGAGGTGATGATGCTTTATATAACATTGAGTAGTGTAAATGATTTTGGCGTATTTGTACTGGTTGGGTAACTGTACATTGATGACATTGAAATTCTCAACAAAAGTGCTCTGGGTTCGAGCCAAATTCCGAGCTCCGAGTCCTCTCCTTGGACAGCACGTCAAATATGCATATTTTACACTATATCTGATTATATGCAAGTGTGAACTCGTGAAATGGTCTCTGTGCTGAATTCCAGTTGGGATTTAGACCATTTAATCTCTCTATTGGTTTTACTGGACTGTGCAGCCTTTGATACTATCGAACCACAACAGACTCTAGTGGAACTTAAGCAGGGGCGATTCTAGGATTTTTTCAACTGGGGGGCACAAGAGGGGCCACAATTATTACAGAGGGGCCATTCTTATGTTGTGTATTTATGTAGAACTGTAGATATCCAAATCATTTCAAGTTCAGTAAGCTTTAAAATCAGCAATAAACAGTGATACCCTATTATCTTTTAATAGCAGTTATTCACTGCTCAAAATCAAAACAATAAAATACAATTTATATTAACTTTTCACTTTACAAAAGTGAAAGAAAAACTGTAATAAATAAAATAATCCAATGTATTAGTGTACAACTCACAAATAATAATAGAACAGCCTTATTTATATAAATGCATAATTATATTAATCATTCATATAATAAATACACAATTAATGAATTCATATAACTGTAATAAACAAAATTTAACCAAATATCAACGTCTTATGACGTTGTGTGCCTGCTGGGAATAATCTGTTATGTCTCATTTAACAGACGCTTTTATCCAAAGCAACAAGTAGGAGAGCATTTAACACACACTCGGCACAATCCGGCGCGACGAGGTCCATACGGGTTCTGTTGTCTTACACGTCTTACAGCGTTACAGTAGGTTAAATCATAACAAGGAAACTTTACGTGTGATTCATGTCATCGCGACATACTGTAACACATTATACTTACAGTGTGTGTAAAAAAAATGATGTAATCGTCCTCTGCTTTTTTTCTGGGGTGCATGCATGGAATACATTAGACGGCCAAACTGCAACTAAACGAACACGAAAATTCGCAAGAGCAACAAGAGATTTGAAGCACATGGCAGACGCGCCCAATAGATGCTGCGCGCTGTGATTGGCTGAATGTTAGTTCACTCAAGTCTAAGTAACAAATCAGAGAACACGGGCGGAAATATTGGCGCTGGGTCAAAAAAAATGAAAAAGAAATAGAAAAAACTCTAGCTCGCTATTCTTGCTCCTCGTTGAGAAGCATCGCGACGCGGAATCATTAATTATTCTACTTAGTTAGGGGCCTTAAGCACATAAAAAGGGTGATTTCGCGCAAATTCATCTAAAAGCGCCTAATTTGGCACAGATGTAGCTCAGGTCATACCGAGATGATTTAGCTAGGGCGCCGGTGTGGTGAATAATCCGGTCACTCGGTGTGAATAGTCCGGGCGTAGGACCCAAGCAATCCGATTGGTTCAAAGCATGTTTTCTAGGTAATCGCTTTGGTGCCTGGTTACAAATCATACAAAATCACTTTATTATAGAAGACGTTTGTACTACGGTATAACGAGTCATTAATGTATT